ACTACTCGAGAGTATTATTTAGTAATTATTTCACAGGCCAAATATGCATGATATTAAATTAAGTGTCACTTGTTAAATGATTAACATAAAATCACRATGACCTTAATTTTTTGTACTGTTTATGAGTAAGCCAGCCACCATGCTTGTWCAGGGGCAATCCTCTTTTCACTCGTCGAGTGAAAACCTCAGGTAAAAATGCTCTCTTGTAAAAATACATCAAAGCTGGCATTGCTTCTTTATCCCACCATTCATGGTCAAACCTGACTCTTTGAATAGCTATGACATCATTGCCAAACCAGACAAGAAAATCCACCCATGGTAGGTTACACACATACATTTGTCCTTGTACTTGATAATAATATTCATGTCCCTTTTTCAGAACAGGATTTCCATTGATAAGAGTAATGTAAAATTCTTTATCACTACATGCTTGTTCAACAGTCTGCCCACGTTTTGAATATGGRCATTTAATCTCTAGTCCTCCTAATATTCCATCTGTTGAGGAGGGATCGTGTACCAGTCTGTCCAAACTAGCTCCTAGACCTGGTRTTTGTTTTGATATCTGTGTACCAACCTCTATAACTCTCAGGTTAGTATTGCCTGTTGCATGATGTAAAGCCACATAGCAGCTCACAGCATCATTCTCATGATGTAGACCATACTGGAGAGAAGAAATAATTYTTTGGCTGTTGTTATTATCAATATACATTATGTCCTTCAGCAGAGTATCTGGTGCTTTTGTTCTACGGRCAGCCTTCTTGAAGTTTGAAGCAGTAAGCACAGTTTCTTTGAGCTTTTTCCATGCATTATTTTCACTTTGCCCTTTAGTTTCCCTCTCAATTCTCTTTACTTCTTCATCACTTATTTCCTGTGCTTGAACATAGCAATCAATAATATTTTTGAAAGCTTTGGTGCTGATATCAWACTCATCATTGAAGGGGACATTTTCACTAGCATCTAGAAGCTCATCTATTTCAGTAGCATTTTCTGGAATGGACTCATTCATACTGTCAATTTCGACTGTGTTTGATTCTAAATGAACAGTTGACTTGATATTGTGAGCAATGAAATAGATGCTGCTTTGTAAACAAGAGGACAATTTCTCTCCTAGTATTTTGGTAGCTTCAATGTCTGCATGTCTGTCTGATGGGGCTCTTGGATCATACAATGAGCTTTTAGCATTTGCTCTAGTATCTTTCCCATACTTGATTTTTTGAATGATTATCTCATCCACAGGCTTGGGATCAGTTTTCATGTTCCTGGGCACATTCCACCCACAGAGACGTGAAGTGCAAGAAACTGGCTCAGTGTTAGACTGAAGACCATTACGGCTGAAATCCTCTATGGCAAATATGATGCCTCCAATATGGTTGCATCTTCCAAATCCATTTGGTCCTCTCCTAATAAATAAGAACATTTTCCCAATTATTCCTATTGTTCACTGGCTATTGTGGAATCATATAAATTATAATAATTGATTTTTAAAAACTTAAAAGTTTACAAGAAAAATAAATAAATAAAGCCATCAATTAAAAAAAAACATCTTACAATACTTGAATAATAGGCACACTTATTTAGTTAGTAATTTTAGTAGTGTAATTTATYGACTTTCAAAGATTTAGATTAAAAATTAAATTATTAAATTTTTACACCTGTATACAAATATTAAGTTGTAAAATAAAAAGTATTAAAATGCCAAAAAGGAATTATTGTAAACCTAGAAAAAAAATCTAATAATGTCATAGTTTGTTTTGTACACGAAGGTTAATTTAGTTGTGAAGATGCCAGGTCTTATGTATCTATGTTGCTTGGGAGACATTATCAATTATATAAATTGGTGTGATAGAGGTATTGTGGAAAAACGTTTAGTCTAATTTCAAATATTTGAAACTTACCCGGCAGTACACTTGCACGCAGCTCTTACAATGTCATTTCCTGTCTTGTCAAACACTAGTATTGACTTATACTTTTCAGATTTCATTGAAGCAAGAACCTCTGCTTTTAAATAAACAAGGCTGCCTTTGTTGCATAGTTGTAAATCTTTAATATGTCCTTCTTTAAAGAATTGGAATGCTCTTAGCTGCTTGTAGCCTCCAGTACACACGTCAAGCTCGCTGTACTTAGAYGTCTTTTTCACAAGATAATCATAGAGCTGTACGAAGGAAAATGTCGGTAATTCTCGTAGATCTTTCTTCCATATCAAACCAGTTGCTTCTCTTATAATAATCTCGTATGTTAAGTCCGTCGTATTACTAGTAACAGGTGGTGCAAGAGCTTCGCCAGGTGAAGTGTTGGGGGATTTGGACCCTTTAGATCGTTCAACAAGAACAAAGCAACGAAGAGCTAAATCTTCCTTTTTTCCACCGATCGGCTCACCGAAATTCTTGAGAATAGTCTTTAACTCATTAACTTTCAGGTTTCTAAGGTCTTGGATAGATTTAAACTGATTTAAAGTAGAAAAACGATCGTTTGAAGACATGTCACACACGTGGAAACTGTAAACACAGGGAAATGTATTGCTGTATTAGTCTCGTTTCAGTGCTCAAGTGACCGAGCAGGAGACTGGCGCTGAGTCTTGTACCGAGAATACGAAACTCAAGTATTAGCATTTTGCCGCAATTCCACCAATTTGGTCTCTTTTGTTGTTGTTGTAAGGGAAGCTCCGTTTATTATTTCAGGTTGTACTTTTCTTGAATTACGTTCCAAATGCAAGATAAGTAAAGAGTTTCTCTTTTGTATTTACAATATAAGTAAGGTTGAAATTTATGCAAAGCTTGCAACGGAGTGTGTTAAGGCTTGGTTCTTGGGAGGCGACAATGTGGAGGCCAATCTTCACACCATAACCGTCATTGATCTCCCCCATTGATCTAGACAATATGAAAGACGCAGAATCGGGTTCGAAAGAAGATCAGTGTCCCGTAACAAAACCAAAAAGAAAAAGGATCGCATCGAAGCAACTACAAGAGGGTATGATTCTTGGGAGGYGACAATGTCAAGGGCAATCTTCACACACTAACCATCAATGATCTCCCCCATTGATCTAGACAATGTGACGAAGAATCGGGTTTGGAAGAAGATGAGTGTCCCGTAACAAAACCAAAAAGAAAAAGGAACGCATCGAAGCAACTACAAGAGAGTATGGTTCTTGGGAGGCGACAATGTCAAGGACAATCTTCACAACCTATCATTGATCTCCCCGATTGATATAGACATGAAAGATGTAGAATTGGGTTCGGAAGAAGATGAGTGTCCCGTAACAAAACCAAAAAGAAAAAGGATCGCATTGAAGCGACTACAAGAGAGTATGGAGGAGGAACAGGAGGAATGGCAGCAGCCACATCAACAGGAACGAAAGCAACARCAATAGCAAGAAAACAACAGCAACCACAACACTACTAATCCCCACAACAAAGACACTTCAGACTACGTACACTTTGAAGAACGACAAGACCAGCAGCTAAGTGGAGACAGTATCTCTTTGGAGGAATTTGAGGCAATACGACCCTTTAAAGAGTCCACTGATCATGAAGAGTCCACTAAGGCRCCTGTACAAACAGCGTATGAGCTGAATGCCCTTTGTGCGAGGACTTCGGCCCTTGAAGCTGCAAACAACGAATAAAGAAAGGAGGTAGATGCTCGAAAAAAACACCCTAGTAAGTTTAACACACTTTCATTAAATTAAGTTATTATTAATTATTATGTTAGATATAAAMTTTCTTTCTAACATAAATTGTTATTCTCAATTTTTGCCCTAATAACTTATTAACCTAATGTTTCATTTTGCTTTACAGCACCATCTCCTGAAGTCTGTGCTGTTTTAAACGCAAATACATAGATCCTTCGATGAACAAACTTGCATGGATATGCTTGACAATATTTCCAACACTACTCCTATCGTATCCTATCCTATCGTACAATAAAATGATAGCAAACCTTTCTCCATTAGTTGAGGTAATTATTTTCTGGAGTTATTAACGACTGTATGTATAAATAAAGCAAAACTGAGATATTCGACCACCAAAGACAGTAAACGAATGCTTTACACAGCAAGTTAGTTACGCTCAAGTGAAAGTCAGCAGTCTTCCTGTTTACGGTGCTGCAGAACCCGAACTAACCACCGTTGAAAATTTGCTGTTGCTGTTTTTTATTGTGTTTTTGACTGCTTTTTTCTCCACTTCATCGAGTTTTATGTCTTCTCAAGTCCGGGAACTAATTCAAGAACTAAAATGGATGGGCGTCCAACCAGGAATAGTCAATCTGCGGCTTTTTTTCCTGCTTCGGAGAATGACACTCCATCAATTAGTGTCGCCGGTGGTTCGATCAATGGGGCTGTGATTTCATTGTCATCCGTGGTACTTTCGCCTCAGATGTTGGAGCCCATAACACAAGCAGCCACTCGAGGGGCTTTAGCAGCTGTGGCAGCGACAAGGGAAGTGGTTCCGACGTCCTCTGTTGGCTTTTCACCCCATCCACTTTTTGTAGTATGCTTTAAGAGTATATTTATTATAGAGTATATAATTATTTTATTATGCTTTATATACTGGATAGCCACTATAGGAACATTATTAAACGTCAATGAATTTTACATATAAAGTTTAGCTTAAGGTCACTTCATTCCAGTGTGCTATAACTTTGAGTATTTGTTGAGCAATCTTTTTTTGTTTAATGGGTTGGTACATAAAAGTTTTTTAAGTTAATAGAAAAAGAGTTAAACATCTTGAAACATAATGAACAAAAAGAAAAGTACCTCCCTGCTTATTTCCTTCAAGCTGACATTAAAGTCAGCGGGAGGAGACACCTTATATCTGTGACTGAAAAACAGCTTCACCACCTGGCCAAAGCCAAGAACTGGTACATGAATGAGGTGTTTAAACTTGTTTGACAGCCATTCATGCAGCTAATGACGATGAACGCCTTCGTTGGTGTTAATGATTTACCAGTGATTATGCTCATATCACATAACCGTAATCTGATAGTTTTGATTTTGTGATAAGTTGATGTAGCATGCGTAAGAAAAGTTAAACTACCAAAAGAAGCTCCTTTGAATATTAATTAATTTGCTATCCGGCCAAGTAGCACAGAGGTATGTAATTYATATCATATTTAGTTCTTCTACAAGCAATTATCAATATTATTATTCTTTAGCATAAACTGCCTATAGTTGGCTGAGTATTCATTTCTAAGTATCGCTAGACCACGTGTTGCATAATCATTCCCAATCAAGCACATTTTTCTATTTGTAAGCGGTTTTAACTAATACAGATATACCTTATTGTATTTTACCCAGTCTTTACGTGATTCTAATAAATGTGATTGAATGATGGAATCCCAGTGAGTGATTTGCTGTTGTAACACGGCCGACCYGGGGATCCTCGAAAGACTGCCCCAGCCATAACAGTTGGTAAAGATGACCATATTAAACAAGTGCCACTTGTATTTGTAGTGATGTCGGGCAGGGGAAAAAGGATTATAAGAAGGTAACTATGATAAAAGATGGTAACGAAGACAAACAACTGTTGTTGAACACTCAACTTATTTCCGTTTTCTCTTTCTTTTGTAGGTGCTAAAGAAGGTTGTATGGGCTGCTCTCAGATACTTCCTCCCCAATGCTCACATAATAGGCTGCCCATTTCACTGGGCACAGAATGTTGTTTAGAAAGGTTTCATATAACTAAGTCATACATAATAACCATAACTTTAACTTCCTCCTTTGTTTCTTCATTTTAACATTATCAATGTTTTTCTTTCATAGGTCCAAGCATGTGGGCTGCAAATGCAATGTCTAGAGGGCAATGGCACTCACTAGTTCATAGGTCAGCTCATATCATTGCCATACCTTCCCCATACAGAAATTCATGCACAGTGGAAACCACGCCAGCCATGCAACACCTTTTTGAGTACATCAATAGCCTCGTGCAAATCAGACTCTTTGACATTATTAAGCTGAGTGCCACAAGGCTCTTGCCTTGGTCCACTTCTCTTTCTTATTTATGTCAACGAAATAGCCTTCTTTAATAAGAAATGCCAAACACATCTCTATGTTGACGACACAACAATGTCATTCRTGCTTCCCGTTTTTGTTTTTGTTTTGTTTGTGTAAACTTATGTGGAGAATTCTTTTGTCGAAACCACTTGCAATCTGACTCATAGGTTGTGCACCTTGCCGCCAGTTATACTACACATTGTTTGAAATACATTTACACACAAAAATTAACTTCAGGTGATAAAATATATTATTATTATTGTATTATTTAATACATGAAGTGTTTAATTAATAATTGGTTTTTTCAATTCAAACATAAATGCAACAAGGAATTATTCATTACTTGACTGTACTTACTTTTCATTCCCCTTTTAATATGTTTTCTGTCATGGTCTCCTAAACAAACATAGATACAAACAGATAAGTTCACGAGAAAAGTTTAGCAGTTGTCTTCTATAAAACTTGCATTTTACACCATCAGGGTTGGGTTTGTGTGCGATATAACAAGTCACCAGTGACGTCACAGACACTAATACTTTTAGGGTCTTTGTATTTAGCATTGAAATTATTATCTTCTCTAAAACCAATCATCTAAATCGTTTTTAGACCAATAGATCGATGGATCGATGGATCATTAGATCGATGGACCGATGGATTGGTAGATCGATGGATCTTTAGATCGATGGACCGATGGATCTTTAGATCGATGGACCGATGGATCATTAGATCGATGGACCGATGGATCTTTAGATCGATGAATCGATGGATCTTTAGATCGATGGACAGATTGATCTTTAGATCGATGGACTGATGGATCTTTAGATCGATGGACCGATGGATCTTTAGATCGATGAATCAATGGATCGTTAGATCGATGAATCTATGGATCGGTGGATTGTTAGATCGATGGTGTGGGATTCCTGTGTGTTGCCGGGCAAGAAACGGGTTCCTGGGAACGATCTTTTAAATTCAAAGATGGCGTCGTTTCGTTTAGCGCGTTTTGTAGCTCAAGTAATTCATCCCATTTTTAAAACTGCTGGATCGATTTCATATAAAGAAAGCAAAAGGATTAATGACAGAAGAGTGATTTACCAAAGGTAACCCTATTTCGAAAGGACTTCCAAACTCTTTAGCCAATCAAAAGCAAACACAATGCATGGGAACGAGGATGACATTTGTGGTCTCCGTCGTCTCCAGTGTGTTTACATCTCAGTTGTGAAGTTTTTGAACACTCTCTTCTTTCTTGTCAAGTTTCCATTTGGTTAAAAGATGGCTTCATCAGAAAAAAATCAATTCTGTTCAAGATCTCGAGCGGAAGCTCTCACAAATTGCTAWTCCTTGGGACGAAATAGCTCCTGCTCCTATCACTGAATGGCTAGACATTTACGCCAAAAGTCGTGGCACATGTCCAGAGCTACTCCTCACAGCGATGCTGCCGTGTTCAAGTGCCTTAATTGGCAATGCCACGGTAAAGATCTTTGACTCTTGGAGGGAAAAAGGGAATAAWTTTTTTTGTTGGTTTGGCCCCATCTGGAGCTGGAAAGACACTGGCGTGTAACATTGGATGGGTGACGCCATTGATTTCACACCTCGAGCCACATTTCAATCTTAACCTCGGTATTGTGCATCGACGAGGGATACAGCTTCATGCACAAGCTCACATCCACTTCAAGGTCAGTGTCTCACACGTCACTCACCATGGAGCTGATGTGCAAGCTCTATGATGGAGACTACTGGTATACAGTCAAGGGTAGCCAGGGAAAGCGCACTGGGGTGCAAATTACTCGAATGAGCATGACTATGTTTACGACACCAAGGCGTTTTCTAGCTGATGTATGGCACAAAGTGGTTGCCTCAAGAAATGGCTTGGCAGATATTGTATAAGGACAATGCAAAAGTAGATCTGGATACCATGGAGGAATGATCTTCATCCCTACAAGAAAGCCCACTCAAGGGTCTTGGAGCTGTTTATGAACAAATATATGCAGAGCATCACCAAGATGCTGCCATTGAGTATACCCTCAATGCATCAGCATGTGAATTATACTTAAAGTTCTGCAAGGGCCACAACAGTCAAGGATCTACTCTATCAAGTGGCAGCTTCACTCCTGAGTGCAATGCCAAATCTGGCAAAAATGCCATACGATTGCCCTGAACTTGCACGTTTTGTGGCATCGGTTGGGAAAAGCCCTGGACCAGTTGGTAGGACCAAATTAAATTATTAAATTATTATTTAATGCATTTTTTTTTTTTTAAATTAAGAAACTGTATTTAAGGCAGTGTTCGTTCATGTTAAGATTGATCATCAATCATCAAGGGGCAATTACATTTTGAGTAGCTAGCAGTTTCAAGAATACAGCCACCATTCTGATAGATGTCACAGAGTGCCAAATTATCATCATTTTTGTTTGACATTTGACCAGCACTCTATGAAAAGTGCATATGTAATAACATATGTAAAAAGGATGGCCAAAAAGGATACTATATTAGATAGCACTGTTTTTTACTGTATTCTTTATATGTTTCTAGGGTTTTTTGCAATGACAGCTTTTACAATATAGATTTTTATAATTATTCTTTGTTTAATATAATAAAGTTAAAATTAGAGTTCTATTTAAGTCRCATTTAAACAGATTAAATTTTATTGTGTTGATATCAAAGTTACAGATAAAAGTTGTACAGCTGCAAATTATTAAAATGGTTATTTTTTCTGATACCAGTATGCATTTCTTTATTAAAAATGGTTAACATTTTGAAGCTAGAAAACCCTTGTTAGTGAACAATGATATGACTACACAACTTTATGGATACTGTATAACTCTGGCAAGAAAGACTTCATAAAATTTTAATTTTGTTTTGAAAGAATATTAACAAGATGAATAGTAACATGAACAATTGCGGCAAATTTATCATTTTTATTATCTTTCAAAAAGTTAATAGTTCAAAATAGAACAATGTAATAAAACAATGAAATAAAATCAAAGGAAATGCAAATAGATAGAAGTAAAATTGTGGATGGTAAACATTTGACTTTGTATGAACATACATACATAGCTAAATACTTTACTGCAGTGTTTAAAAGTTTATCTCAATTAAATTTAATATCAAAATCAATGGTCCATCCATYCCTTATATAACACATTTGGCTGAAATGGACAAAGAATCAGAAGAATAAAGGCTTCAATTTTTTATATGCCATTTGGCTTATTTTTGCATTTTTTCATTTTTCACTCATGGTCACGGTCACTCACGATCATTCTTGGTCACTGGTGTGTAAAATAATGCACAATCCTTCAAGTGTCRATTGGACAATTAAACTGTGGACCCTTCATTTACTTGTACCAGCTTTGTTTAATCTCTTGTTTTAATGTGATTGTAAACAAATCTCTTTCTCTCAAGAGTCTGTCTACCAAGTTCTTTACTTTGTCCTTAGAGGGGATAGAGTCAAAGCCAGCAGATAGCAATGTGTTACAAAATACATCATATAGAGTATCACTGTATACTGGAATTTGGTCAATGAAAATAAGCTGTAATATAAAAATTTCAAAGTCTTCCATTCGGTCAGGTACTAGTGGCTCATTTACTCTTTCGAGGAATTGCAATGCTGTGGCAATGCATTATTTTCTTGTTCACAAATTCTCTTGCCATGGGGATTTCCACAGTTAAGACACCTACACAATGAGCTGCATCCAGAAATATTTTGAAAGCATTTACAGCRTGATCCATAGCTTTTACAAAAATCTTTACTTTTATCTTTTGCTCCTCCCTTGCCACATGAACAAGATATCTTTTTCCCTTGATTTGGTTCTTTAGTGATATTATGAACATCATTGATATTAGTGACAGCAGATGCCATCTTTGAAATTGTTGATACAGCATCATAATGACCCTTTCCAGACTGGTTGAAGGCTACATAGATTGGATCATTGCTTAAAGGCTCCTCCTGGGGAGTCAAAGGTATGATTGGATAGCTACTGATTGATGAGTAAATGACAATTGGAATTCTCAGTACATTGCTTAAGGCTAGAAGAACACTGTTCCCAAGCTCACAGTCAAATAACCCTTGCTCCATAAAAGACATGGCTGTTTCTTCAAATGTGGATTGGTGGGAAGAAATTAAAAACAATGAATATTGTTCACTGTTTTGACCAAGCCATTCATCTACAACAAGTTTTCGTAAAATGCTTATCCTTTCTATTATTGACTGATTGGCAGCTAAGTTTAAAGATTCAAGATGAGAGCAAACTTGATGATTAGTGTCAAAGAAGTAATCAATTCCAAAGGACACAGAGGCAAAACAACAATCCCCATCAACTGGAACAGACACTCGCTGTAAATCAGAGTTCGATAAAGCCTCATCAAGCCTTGCTTCACTTTCAACAAAGTCATTCTTACTACTGTATTCATTATTTGAAAGCAATAGCAACATTGATGGGGCATAAACCCTTGAAAACTTCTTGGCAATGATGGAGTTTTTAACAAAAGAAGTTGATGCAATGTTACACATAATAGCAGCCTTGCTGTAAATATTTTTGACTTGTGTTTGAGTGTTCATGCCAGTCCTTAGTGTAGAAACCAATATAAACCCTATTGATTGATGTCCACCAAAACTCAATCTTTTGTTTGCCAAAAAGGTCTAGTTGGTCGCGCGTGGCTGGGAATCGCAGTAACTCAAAAGATTAAAGGGATTAAAGGGAATAGCATGAGATCTAATAAAAATTAAGATTTATATTTGTGAGGGACACGTGTTAGATAACTTTCTGGGCTAATTGTGTCACCCTCCTTAAATAAAGTTGATTGTATTTTATTGTATTGTATTTGAGTGGCCTTCGTTTTTCCAGGGACTTCGTTTACCCCCACGCTCCATTTGTCTGTCTGTCTTCTGCGATYACCGAGTAATGTTTTTCAAGATAACTAAAGCCAATCTGCAACTAAAAATAGCCAATCTCACATCTAATATGTAGTAAAAATAGCTTATCAAATACTTAAAGGCCAAAATGCTTAGCTTTTCTTCTTTACGAGAAGACATGTTGTGTTTCATCATGTAATGCGACGTCACGAAGGCGCCAAAAAACTCCGCTTGTTTGCTCCACGAAAATAAAATGAAATAAAAATTAAATCTCTAAGAGTTCAAGGAATACTATTAATGTTAATAAATAAGCAGTCTTACGAGGAATCCAATAGCTTCTTACCTTTGAAGTAGCGATATTTTGAACTCGTTGCACAACCATCCCATCCGCCATGTTGTTCTTCTTGCTGTGATGACCCTAAGGCATGATGGGTATAGAGGCGCAGTATCATGAGTCAGGGGTAGGGTGGGGTTGCCTTGTCTACTTCTCGACTTTCTGCTCAGATATCTTTGAGATCAATAGTATTTATGCATAGAAATAGTCACTGCGACTGACAGTATCGAACATGTTTCTAGGGGAGGAGTGGCCGGTATTTAGTAGTCTCCCCCACAGCCGCTTTCAGTGTCGTCACGCAACGCTTTCTCCCCTGAGTAGCTACTCAGGGGAGAAAGCGTTGCGTGACGACACTGAAAGCGGCTGTGGGGGAGACTAGGTATTTAGCGGCTCTCACTACCTTTAAATCAATTGCAGGTCTTCTTGCTATAAACGTTTAGCGATAGTAGACCCGCTATGAGTACATGTTTTTACTTACTTTATGTGACCATTCGCGGTATGTGTGCATGGTGGTTGTGGGTTGAGTTTGAAGGGGGGACGGGGGTTGGGGGGAGGTGGAGAAATTGCTTGAAAAAACGCAGTCTCTCAAAGACCTGCCATTATCTTAAGCCTGGGGTACCTGAGGGGAGGGGATTTGAAGGAGTGGATCACATGGTTTTTAGACAACTGGAGGGGAACAAGCCACACATTGACAGGTATCAAAGAGAGGTTCACTCAGTAGCAATCACTAGCGTAATGTCAAAAAAGAGAGACGGAGCACCTTTTKGGGGGAGAGGGGAAAATTAATTTTTCAAGTCTTGTGTAGTTTCCGTTCTTTATTCTAACTAGCATGCCCTCCACATGAAAAACGCTTCTCAAATCCTCTGACCCTGCAGGTTTGCTGTTTTGACGCTTCGTTACTTCCCTCCGGATAAATTTCTATTTACCTTACCTGTAAATCTTGACTGCCAGGAACAAGGCTGTTTAAACATAGTGCCAAGGTTAACACCCCGATTTGTCACTCATATTAACCAAACAAGAGTCATATAATCTTTCTGGTCATCACTTGTGACGTCAATAGGAAATTCATTTTGAGAAATTTTAAATGAACTTTTCAGATTTCATTGTAAATCCTTTTGAACTTACTTTTACTAGAACAAAAATGTTATATGGTTAGTAATGGTTTTGAAGGGAAATTCCATCCGCGTTTTCATGCCTAAATGTCGACAAAATCATTTTATTCCCGTGAGAAATTTGGAGAACGAGTCGAAATGTTTCTGTTGTTGGCGATTCGAAATTTCATTCCCAAAACATCAAACCCTTTTTTTYCCCCTGAAAAACATTAAGCTAATCGTACTTCCGAGTTTACCTTTTTTGAATTTCGGGTAACTCGACGATATGAACCGCTCTAGAAAAACTAAGTTCGTCGTAATGTCTTTGTCGAAAACCGCTATTTGTTCCTATCCAATTCACGCCAATAAGCGCCATCACCTTCAATATACGTATTTGGTCTATTTGGACAACCGGTCCCTCACTCAGCTCAATACAAAGCAAACTTGCTAGTTATAACGAGATCACCTATATTTGATGTCATTTTTAACCACCAACCATTCTAAATGACTTTATCGAGCGTGACATCGTGGTTCGGTTTGTGTTTTGTCCCACTCTGCATGACTTTGACCATTTGTGGAAGTTCCATGATCTACTTAGCGTTCTATCGAAAAACATCCTTAAGAAACCATTCCAATATTTTCTTTTTGAGTTTAGTCACAGCCGATCTACTTTGTGCAATCTTGGTAATGCCTATTGAAGCAGCTCACCTCTACTATTCTCCGATATGGCCTTTTGGGAAGGTGTTATGTCGACTATGGAACACTTTCTTTGCTACATTCGCTTCACTTTCCGTGTGTACCTTATGTGCCATCAGCGCTGAAAGACTGTGGGCACTTCTAAGACCATTTCGCTACGACAGCTCAGAGATTTCGGTCAAAACTCTTATCATTCTCGTTTCTTTGTGGATCTACGCATTCCTGAGTGGAGTTTATAGCTTCTTTATCTGGGACGTAGACGAAGAAGGCTTCTGCTTTAGCGATCTTTCGGCGCCATTTGACAAAGCAGCTCCAATATTGATCATCAATGTTTTACTCCCATATGCTACCTGCCTTGTCGCGTATGGCAAAATATTCAAGATCTCTCACAAGCAAGAAAAAAATATATGTCTTACCACGGTGAATTGCAGTAATAAGATAAACAGCAAAAGAAAGCGTATCGTTTCTCACTTGTTGGTGAGGAAAAGCACCGTCACGTTGGGGTTACTATTAGGATCGTTCACCCTCTGTTGCATGCCCTTTCTCGTGTTTCATATCATCGATGCAGCAGTCGAACACCTTCCGAATCGACTTTATGTATCGAGTATCACCAAATGGTTGTTCTTCGTCTGTAGTTCGAGTAACTGGGCGTTGTATGGTCTACTGAACAAGGATTATAGGAAGACCATGATGGAGATAGTTGGGAATATGATGTTCTTTAGGAAGAATAGAGTTGCGTTTGTTCAAAATCAGGAACTGACCATAAGAGTAACAATATCTAATAAATGATTACAACTTATATTTTCTTTTTTAACTCGCCATTAAAATTAAATTACAGACATTAGAGAAGAGACAATTTAAATCAGTTATCGTAGCACTAGAAAAATTTCAATTGCTTGAGTTTTATTTGGTTAGTGGAGGGAAAGGTGGTAGTATTCGACGTCGCTATCTAAACACTGAAAATCTATCAAATAATCTGTGTTTGCAGATACGGCTTCCAAACACAAAATTTCGCCATGTTTTTTTAAATTAATAATGATATGATATAATCTTTATAGGAAATATCGCACGATCTCGAGTACAATTCGGAATTTATAGGTACGAGTGATGTTTGGAAAATTTTCAAAAATGGGCGAGCCTTTATTCGAGTCCAATTTGAGAACTTTCAAAACATCACGAGTATCTATAAATTCAGAATCGTAACGAGAAGATTGTGCGATTTTTCGTTTGTAATACACTCACCAAAATTGAGCAACATAATTGGGACTCTATAGAGTACAATTTGGGATTTAATTGTACTCCTCTTGTCCAATCAGAATCGAGTAATTTTGCAGAGTATYATAAGATTTATAATTCCATGTATCGCCACGCTTCGTTTTTCAACTTTAATTTTAGTAAGTCAAATTTCCTTAGTTTCCTTCCCTTGTAAGGGCTTTTTAAGAGAGCAGAGTGGTTTTTTTTTTGCGAATAATTAACTAAATTCTATCCGAAGCCCGAATGCATGGTCTACGAGTCAATAGTGTGTTGTTTTTTTTAACATCTGTGTAGTGATGGAAAACATTTGCAGTTTAAATAATTAATATTATGATTAGCCCATGAGACCGAAAGCCGAAGCGCTATTTCAATGCGGCTACGAATCTGCCGTACTCCCCTTTGGGTAAGTGAATGCGTATCTAACCGGTTGAACGGAAACCTTACTGAAGTTTATAAAACGGAGGCTGGATATACAAAGGATTTTCATGTAATTCGGTACCTTAATCCTGCATACAAAGCCCAAAATGCACTATGGGACACTGAATGCAAATGCAGTGAGAAACGTCGCAACGCAACAATATCGAATTTTCCCAAACTCTTTTTCAGCATATTTTTTTCTGCACTGACACTATTTACATATCATCCACAAAACATTTCAAGCTTGATACGCAACATGTAGCAAAACCTTTACCAACCTCATAAATATAAAACATCCATAATTTTATATGAATACTCATGTTGCACGTTTTTAGCCAATCAGAGAGCGCGTTGTATCATTTCAATTGCGAYGAAAAAGCGCGCGCGCGCCACTGACGAAACAATGAACAAAATAAAATACTTAGCTTTTTGCCTGTTAACTTTTAGTCGCGTCCGCTAAACCTTTGCAATTTATTTATCGCTTTGGTTGGGCTTCCCTTACATTTTGACAAATGTTAGAGGCAATAAATCTCCACCATGTGCAGGTGAAAGAGCATAAAGGAATTTTAAGGTGAATACCAGATTCGCAAAATGAATCCTGCAGTTTTTTACAGAGGAAAAGACAAGACGATCCTCCCAGCGGATCTGCTTGCTACATACCTCACATACCATGCCAACAAGGCCGAAGACATGAAACTTCTCTTCAAACTACGCCTCCTCGAGAGAGAAGAGAAAATATCCTTAAGGGAAATCAAATGGCGCAAACACCAACTGGAAGCAGAACTAAAGCAACAAGCTGAATATTATTTTGGATGTCACAGAGTGTTTTCTGATCAGTCCTTGGTTTCGACCTCAGACTCGTTTAAGAAGAACTTGTACCTTGGGCCTTACCCAACTAAGGCCCTTATTCCTAATGCACGTCTGAAGGAGCTGAGAGAGAAGCTAAGATCAATGCCCACGGGTAACGAAAAACCAAAAGCTTTAGCTAGGGCAAAATTGTTGCAGGGTAGGAGAAGACAAAGATTTCCTTCGGCTCCACCCGAGTCTGTCCATGATATATCGGCTGATAACATAGGGGTGATTGAGCCAATAGAAACGCTAGTTGGAGAGGATTCTAAAGCAGATGGCTTAGAACAACTGCCCTCCTTAGAGCCAATCAAATCGCCAGAACAAAAACCCGAGATTATCGGTGAGACGCACGATTCACTGCACGAAATACAGAAATTGAAGTTCAAACGAATTCAATCGGCTCCAATGGCTAAACACTCTAGGGAAAAGGCAGAGGGACTASATGTAGAGGGCCGGCCAAACGCCAAGCAGAAATCTAAGGTAAAAGTAGGACGAGCCAAGACTTGTGTTACAAGACGAGAAAGATTAACAACAGGCACTAAATTTGGAAAAGAACTTTACCGAATTGAGCAGACAATCAAGAAGAAAACGAAAGAAGAAAAGTCAGAGTTCAATAAGGGAAGGCCCTGGAGTGATAGGAGTATAAAGACCATTAGAAAACGCCCAAGACCCAAGTCTTCTTCTTTCGTAAGCGCTCTTCCGAAACACTTAGAAGCAAGCGCACAATGTTTGCGGGCGAGATCCGCGATTTCAAGCAGACAAAAGCAAAAGGAAAGAGACAGAAACGAAAAATATCCACAAATTTTGAGCAAACCTTTGCTCAAAGCTTTGGAAACCAAGTCAAGTACATTGTCAGGAGATGAGAGGATTTCTCGTAAACATATCTCGGAGCAGGTCTCGGAGGTAAAAAAGCCAGGTATTCTGCGCAAGCAAATAGTGGCGCATTTAGATTTCTCAAAAGCTCATCACTTAGTTTGCAAAAGTTTTGATAATTCAGAGACCGATAAAACTGGCCAGCTTGATGAAGAAGAAATAGCTAGACGTTACATTGATGACAGTGTACAACTGGAAGATCAAAGTACTGCTGAACACAAACACCGACGAGAAAAACGAGGAAGTAGAGACGTCGAACTAGAAATAAAAGGTCAGCGAAAAGTAGCCGAGAAACTACGAGTAGAAATCCAAATTCCACAAGAACAATGTCCATCGGAAAGCAGGGAAGCGACGACAGCATTAGCAGAAAAACACCACAAGGAAAAGCAAGAGTCAGTATCTCACAAAGACGCAAAAAGACACTCCATAAAAAGATGGAAGGATGCTGTAAGTCATGTGAKCGATCACATGGACAAAGAGGGCGAATGTAAGCGGTTTGTCGGTCATCAAGCAAAAAAGGAACATGCGAGAAAGCGCAAATTATCGATATTCAAAAAAAGAAATTTTTCAGATGAACTGAAGGATAAACAAAATGAGGTGGAATCAGACATGAGGAAAAAGGTATTGGAATACATGAAGGTTTACAAAGAGGAAGAGGAAGATCAGAGTGCTGAATATCTAGATGGACCACAGGAGAATGAATATTAATGCATGCAAATTGGATGGGAAATTTTTTAGTATAATATAATTGAATGTTAGATTAATGCAAAAATCAGGTCTTTCTGAAGCAAAATGTTATGTAGAGACACAAGATTATTGCTAACTATGTTTATTTAAAAAAATGGTTTGAACAATTGTCCCTGACACTCAAATGGGTTCTACTAAAAAATTCTTCCCATTCAATCACAGTTGGGAAGCCATTTGAGTTGCCAAGTGTGGAAGCCAAGTTAAGAGTAACTACTTTAAAACTGTAYACTATATGAAATGAGAAAATTGTCAATAAATAAATATAGTATTCATTGAATTGTGAGTTGTGGGCTGCCTTGATACATTAACCAATAAAACAAGCCAAAATCTGATCTGGATTAGCTTAATGGTAAGTTTTATTAAAATTTCAACATCGCCTTATAAAAGGAGAACAATTTATCAATTCAATCAATCAATTGTATATAAGTTAATAAATAAAACAACATTAGTGTGCCAGCCTTATTTTAGCTAATAGATAAATAAAGACTATACAATTAGCTGGTATTGAAGAAGGTTTAGCCTAACGAGTGATTCTTCAAAGATTCACAGAAAATCACTTAGGTAATGCGTAATTTTTAAATTGCGGTTTCCAAGGATAACAAAAGGCCTCAACCTAAAATCTGTGTTCCGTGATTTTGGGTGCAAGTGCGCAACCCTGAATAACAGGTTCTATGCAGGATTATTCGTGCGCAAGATTCTTCAAATGCAATTCCAGGGAAATATGTACAATCCGTTTCAGAATAAATGGTATTTTGCTGTAGTCTTGTGCCTTAATTAAACATTTGTTCTCCATAGTGTACGAACAAACTTATTTTCAATAATGATATCTTTTTTGAATAGTCCCATTCTCAGTTCCAGTTTGCATCGAAGAGAGACGAACTATGAGCTTGCAATGATAGAGGCATGTGAACAATTGTCCAAGGTGTTAAAAAAGGTCTCTATCATTGCATGCTCACCGTTCGTCTCGCTTCGATGCAAAGGCACGGCTACCTTTCAAGATGGCGCAGGGAACTTGGAGGGAACTATTCGCAAAACATCGCTAAATTAATTGATTACAGACTCATTTACTCAGGATATTTTTCTCTTATTCTCTCTACTTCATTATACACCCCGAACGCATAATTTATTACTACTATACTATGTCTATTCTTTGCGTACATATTTACGGTGTTCAACTTATCTATAGAGAAAAAATATCGTTCTGGGATCCTCACGAATACCCTACATTTCGTTACCAGCGTGGTTGGTCCATGTAGTGTAGTGGTTAACACATGGGACTGGAACCGAAGACGTTGGTTCGATTCCCGCCAAGAGCATTTGATATTTTTCTCTTATTCTCTCTACTCAGGGTTAGCCTCATTTCAGCGTCAAAATATTCACAAATACCACAGTAAAGTAAAGAATTTACAACTTCAACAATAAACTTTGATTGACCACGGACCTTCACTGAAACACTGAATATTCTACACAAAATCAAGACTAGCCCTGAACAACAGAATTCGAAACTAAAGCATTTCCATATAATTTCAAAGCACATTTATTAAATATGCCTAATTCAAGGTCCTTTTAAGTGCTCTTAAAGATGGTTTACAGATTCCATCTCCAGGAATGAATAGCGCTTACCCTATCTAAAAACATGTTCCACAATCGAGATCGCTTTTATGTTTTCTTCTTACCGCCTATCATAATCCAGCTCTTGTTCACGCTTTTGCTGCCCTATCCGCATCCTCATACGCCTCATTCACTGTACCACTCTTCCCAGGGTCTGTCTTTGAATGGTCCTCCTTTCTGTAGCTGTCAAAGATAACTGCGTACTCTGGATTGGACTTGGCGAACGCGTAAAATTCCTCTGTTAATAAAAGAGGATTTAAATCGGGGCGTAAGAACATATATATATATATATATATATAGAAGTTTTATGGCTGTTTTGTGGAGACTAAAGGTGGTGTTACATGGACCAACTTGCAACGCCGATTTTTTTGCGCAACACTATTGCACGAATAATCGTTGTCGTGTAACATAGCGCCGAGGACGATTTGTCGCGCAATTTTTCACTCTGCAACACGTTGCAAGTTTTTGATCTGCCTTCAAAAACTTGCAACGCAAGATGACGAATTTTYAGCAAATCGATGTGTGTAATGTCGCCGACTGTAGAAGAAGTAAGCTTAAAGAGTACAACAACTGCAACAATTGTCCAAACCTAATGAAACAGACAAGATAGAACTTTTGTAGTTGATAAAAAATGATAAAAGCAAGAAAAGAAGAAAAAAGAAAAAAGCCGTGAGTGAGTTGGCAGCGCGTGGCCTGAATACTAAAGTAAATGTTGCGCGAAAAGTTGTTCCCGTGTAACATGTCGAAAAAGATCGACACACAAATGGCGCAATAGCGTTGCACCAAAAATCGGTGTTGCAAGTTGTTCTGTGTAACACCACCTTAAACCACCTGTCCAACGTCGAACTTCACATGAACCGAACCTAATGACATCAAAGAAGACCGCCTTGTTATCCATTGTTTCAATTAGGTTCGGATGATGCTTAAGTTCGACTTTTGACCCGACTCTAAGACACTAAGAATTCACTCAAGTGATATCGTAGGCAGGAGACATGTAAAGACGCGTAAAGACACGGTAGTACCTACCATATGTGACATATCCACGATTATTCACATCAATTCGTCTAAAAATACAATTGATATCGCGTTCCCTGATGGAAGGGTAAGCACTTTGTAGGATATGCTTGAGCTCGAGCTCCCCAACACGACCATCTTTATTCACGTCAAAAACCTGGAATAACAATAACGAAGAACTAAAAACTACGAGCTAAAAAAGCAATATTCTTAGCGTACTATTTAAGTTCAAAAATGAAATTTCTATCGAGTGGACTTTACCATAAGTTTGCAATTGGACTCACAGCGCGTTATTATAGAGCAGTTTTCGTATGACTGTGAAAAGCTCGTTGCCGTAAGCGTGCCTTGCCGTGACCATGATGCTTTCTAGTATTTTAATTGGCTGACTTTTTTCTCGCGCAATGTGACTGGTGTGACAGTGCCGTGACCTTGGCATGACCGTGTTCGCGCCATGTTTATACCATGTTCAGGGTATTTGATTGAATGGACAGTAAATTATAGAGCAATGTGATTTGTCTGGTGTCACGACCGTTTCCCACTAATACACCGCCCTGGATCGGTTTTCGGATGAGTCAAAAATGATTTGATGAATCACACAAAAACCCTAAAGCCAGTTACGTGTTACCGCATACCGTGCCGTGAAAGTGCTGCAAGTCAGTACCATACGTTCCCCACTGATGTGACAACCGCTCTAAAACAACTCTAAGGCCTTTCAATAAATGCAAAATTTACTATGAAGAACGCGCGCTGCGAATGTATCATGAACTAGAGGCGAGAGCAAGCGGAAGCCATTTCAGTGATACGAAGGGCATGTCATACGTAATAGAAATATATAATTAGGGATGGATCATTAGATAATTGAGAGGAGGTTGCAGGAATTTGTTGCACGAATTTTTTTTTGCGAGAAACCCCTGCACATATTTTTTTGTTTGCTCGATATTTCTTTTCTGAAAGGAGAGGTTGCGCGATATTTTTTTCGTAGGTGAAGTGCCTGCTCGATATTTTTGGGGGGATTTACGCAACACCAACCCTCGTCAATTATCTAATGTTCCGTAGTATATATCAAACCTCGAATGCTAGTTTAATAGAGTCATCGCTACTGGCTGGTTTTGCCACAAGGGCCATACCAATCAGGTATTCTCTGAAATCTATGTCGCCAGACTCATCCTAAAAGAAATTAAAATAAATAAATAAATAAAAATCAGCAATAATTGAATACGATCTTCCAGGGGTGGGACAGTGCGCATATTATTTCTTTATTACAGAACGGACAGTATTCATGGTTCCGACTCAAACAATAGCGAACCAATCGCAGTTTTCTCAGTTAAATAGCGCAGCGCAGTCGTGACGTCATAAAAACGAAGACAAAGGCGAAATTCGGACAAACAAACTTACAAGTTTACTTTCAGCAGATAATTTTAACAGCCGATCGCAGTTGATCTTAGTTTACATGGGTTATTATTGTAACTTTAAGTAAAAATAATAAAATCTGTTCGTATAATTCTCGTAGCGGCTAAACAGAATGCAATGTTTGTCCGAATCTTTAAGCTATTTTTAGAATCAGTGCGCTGCGCTATTGAAATCTCTTCCCACAAGCAACTACAAAGTATCTGTTTTAAAGAGTACTACAAGTATTATACGAGGGAATCTTTAATTTATGAGTTATTTTCAAAGGATAGTAAACGATAATTTATATATTCCAGATCCAGGTATTTTCGTTAAAGGTGAGGCGAATTATCGAGTGCAATTATGTACAGAACATTACCCTGTCATAAAGAGAGAATAACTCCTCTATTTGTGGCGTGATGGGAAGATTAAGGTACGCTGCAAATTCTTGAAGGTCAACTCGACCATCAGCATTTGTGTCGATCTCAGAAAATTTATGCAGCAAGTCTTTCATGCTGTCAATGCGCACACTACAAAAATACAACATTATACAAAGCAATTACTGTAAGTACTGAACGTTAATATTATAATATGCAGATTGCGGGACTTTGGGGATGAGATAACCTGCTCTGTAAGGGAAGCTATTCCCTGTTTCAGGTTCTCCTCATAGCTTTTCTTTTTGCTGTGTAAACTAGTAAAGTTTAGATTAAATAGCTCCACCACCTCGCCTCTCTACACTCATTCCCTCGATTCTATCTTCCACCAGGTTGTTACCTTATTCCTTTAAAACCTAGGAGAGGCCAATTCGGGTTCAAAATCGTACCACGGTAATGATAACTATAATTGAAGGCATTCGTTGATGCATTCAAAGCTCGCGACATTAATTTTTATCCAATCAAATTACGGTGTCACGACACCGTCAAGGTCACGGTCCCACCACGGTGCACGATCCAATCCCCGGCCAGGATTAACACTCAGGGTCTTATTAATAAAATAACTGTAAATCAGTTAATTGCCTTTGTAATCACATCTACGAATGGTTGAAACTACGAGTGACTCGGATAACTATTTTAATTGATTAATTAGCGGCCCCATCTCTCCACATTTCTTCCTCACTAACCAATATCGGAGGGACGTAAAAGAACCATTTGAGGAAGCAAAGAAACCCTAGCAGTGCAAGGGTGGATCCAGCCAAAATAATTGAGTTTAGGGGGGGCTAATCGAGTTTCTTCCGTCAACACAACGGAAAACAATAAAAAAAGCATCTAATTCTTCAGTTTTTTTTTGCTGAAGGGGGCTTCAGACCCCTTTTGCCCCCCCCCCTCCCCTCCCTTGCAGTGACCATCCTCAGTGGATACAAGACATCATACATAATATACACATCACAAAACGGCTCTTATGTCTGATGTCTTTACCATAGTTTGGTGCTGATTTTCTGGTACTCCACCAAACCAGTTGAGGCTGGTAGCTTCTTCTGTGTTGCTTCGAGCATCAGTCGGCAGTCTTCATAAGTGTGTTCAGTTACAGGAACCTTCAGTACACTACGCAAGGAAAGAATAGATGTTAAGATCATATTATTTCTTGGCTGGTCATCTGTTAGGGTTGCATGCATCGGTCTAATCCATGGTTCCCACTCCACTTAGTTACCGTTGCTATGTCCACAAGCTCGACAAATTACCTAGAATATCTCAGAGAGTCTTAAAGGGGTAAAATTGGAGCTCGGAGTCGCCTTTTTGGGCTTGGAAAATGAGGGTTCTATGCACTGGGATAGGAATATGCTTTTTCGTAGCCTATTTTTTTGTTTTGCTTTGCGCATTTGCGCAACCGGAAGTGATTAGAAAAAATTAAGATTCATAAGATAATAGTTATTTGCAGACTCTATAATTGCACGAATGAAGGCTAGTCAATCATTCTACAATAATACATGGATATTTTCGACAAAAAGACAAAGAGATACATTGATTTGTCATATTTTGTAGTTTCGGTGCTCTTAAAAAATCTCATAAAGTCGAACAAAATTCTCTACAAAAATCTATTTTTTCATGTGTTAGAATATTTAACTTTTTCTAAAATGTTGATGTATCCTAGATTTTTAGGAGTATTTTCAAATAAGCTATTAAAAAAAAGAGAGTCCCGTGCAAAATTTGAGGGTTTTGCCCTGTTGAAGCTCAAAACGCGTATGGTTCTTCAATAAAATCTTGTAGATTTTTCTGCGGTTTTTGAGCGCGCGCACATCGTGCGCTCAAATCGAACGTTCAAAAGTAGGCAGTCACCTTAAAACAGATACTGTTAGTGGTTTGTGTGCCAAGATTCTAATTCCACTGGGGGAAATGCTGCAGCTGTGATTGCCTCACTATTGTCTGAGTCGGAACAATAAATATTTCTTCCTCAGACTCAAGTTATCTTCCCATCCACATAAGATGCGACACTACAATGAAAGCAAAAAAAAAACACATTTATTTCACTTACCTAGCCATTTGCTCTCTGACGTTACGCGCAAATAGTTTTGCGTCAAGTAATTCTTCACAGGATGGTTTATACACTGGCAAAATCTATCCCAAAAAAAGTAAAGAAAAGTGAGTGAGTTTAGCGAGTTGTGATAGAGAAAATAAATTTGTTCAAAATTGATTTTTTTTACAGTCTTGTGTATTCATGTATTCCAAGAATTTGATCACGATTGGTCTCGTACGCCTGTTTTTTTTTTTATTCCACTTGACTCTACGTAGTATCATTTAAAAAATATCCTCAAAAACTGGCAGGATAAAATGTGCACTGTTCGCTTCCACTGAGAGTGCTTACTATGCAGATGAAGCAGGGGGAAATTTAGTGAGGGTGAGTGGTTCGGGAGTCCGGGGGATTTGTGCGAACTCCCTAAACCGCAATCAAACTCCCTAAAGGAACTGTGAATTCCTTCCCTATCCAATGCAAAATTATTTTTTTTAATAAATGATTTTGTTTTCCACAGTTAGCTCATTGCAACTCTACATTCATTGTTTAATATCAGCAGCAATATTGGATCCGCTCCTGTAAAGGAACTATCAGCAATGGATTGCGTTATGTACTTGCAGTATGAAGAGAGATCATTGAGGAAATGGTGTTCCCCAAATATGTACAGACGTACCTCTATTTCCAAGTAATTGTGAAACTGGCAAAGTGTTAACCAAATAAGCTTCAAACTAAGAAAACAAACATATAAAGAATATTATAAGACTTGTCTTATAAAAGAAAGAATTCACAGTGAGGCAAAAAGACACTATAAGAACTTACGCTCCTGGACCAGACCAAGTCCAAGTGACTGTATCCTAGCAATGACAAGACAGACATAGTTTTAAAGCCAAAACATTTTTGTTGTGCTGTCAAAATGTGGTAAAATTAAGTACAAAACATTTAGATTTTAATGGAGTCATTTATAGATGAGTGGACAAATGGATGGATAACTGGGATGAAATAGGATAGATGAACAGAAGAATGAGTGACCAGATGTATTGATGGATGAATGAGAGGTTGGACGAATGGATGATTTTGGGTGGCATGGGTGGCGTAGTGGTGTGAGCGCTCGCCTCTCGTCAATGCGACCCGAGTTCGAGTCTCGCCGGGTTCGGTGTTGTATATGAGTAGAGTTGTTTGTTGGTTCTCTCCTGTGCTTTGCGGGTTTTCCGGGTTCTCCGGTTTTCCTCCCTCCTCCCACAGGTTTGTTAGCCACTGGCTATTAAGTGCTACCCTCGTGAAAAAAGGACTTTATTATTATTATTATTATTATTATGGGATGGAATGGAATGAATGAACAGAACGAGTGACCAGATGTATTTGATGGATGAATGAGAGGTTGAACGAGTGAATGGATGGCTTGTGGGATGGAATGGATGAACAGAATGAGTGACCAGATATATTAATGGATGAATGAGAGGTTGGACGAATGAATGGATGGATGGTGGGTGGGATGGAATGGATGAACAGAATGATTGATTGACCAGAGGTATTGATGCATAATTGGGATAGAATGGGATGAAGAGACAGAAAGATGAGTGAACAAATATATATTGATGGATAAACAGGTGTACATATGGAAAAGGGACAGGGTGTTGTGCAGAGACAGACAAAAAGGTGAGCTGATGTATAAATGAATGYGTAATGATAAGAGGGTAAATTTTACACCATGAAAAAATGACGTTTCGGATGCTAGTCCTTCATCAGAGTAAGTTGCTTTTTTTACTCCGACAAAGGACTAGCGTCCAAAACGACAGTTTTTTCATCTTTTCAGGGTGTAAAATTTACCCTTTTATCATTACTGTTTCATAAGAAACACAGATGCAGCTCACACTAGTTTTTAGCTAGTTATCTCTTCTATAAATGAATGATTTGATCAATAGATGGATAAGTGGGATGGGGTGAAGGTTCAAAAGAATTGGTGAACTTCTTTATGCATGAATGAATGGATAGATGGATTGCATTGGGATTGGATAGAAATTCACAGAAAGATGGGTGAACAAATAAATGGAAGGATAGGTGGATGAATGATAGCTGACTGGGATAGAATAGATGTGCAAAATAATAGATGATATGATGGGTAAGTGGAGGGATAGATGGGTCACATCAATGAATGAAGAAGGTGGAAGAATGGAAAGATAAAGGGATGGGACAGGAAAGGAAGGGATAATCAGAGGGACGCCATTTGTGTCAGTACATACCAGTTTATTGGGAAATTTTAGAACTACAGGCTGTACTGGACATGCTGCGTAAAAAGCACCTGGTAGGACAGTAACACATAAATTATTTATTGTTATTATTTAATTCAATTCAATTCAATTTATTTACACACTAAAAATAGAAATTAATATAACAAATCATAATTGTTTATCTTTACAAGTTATTCTAGATTCTATAAAGGAATACATAAATAAATATTAGATATAAACAGTTACTACAGTGAGTGTGCAGTGATGGTTTAAGTAGTATAAACCTTTGAGTAAACCATCGCTACATACAGAAAATATAAATTATATCATGGCAAGATTGGGGTGAAAAAACTAGCACAAGTATTTTTAATAGCTATATGAATGTATATATTATGTTACAGCTTTTAGTAGGTTCAGAATTCAAAATATTGTACAAAAGGGTGAAATGGTTCATTTTATCATCCCTATGTCATAGGACTGCAAGATATCCCATTAGTTACCTGGTTTAAATGTTATCAGACACTGTCTGTTTGTGCAAGTTCCTGGAAAATAAGATAAAAAAAGATGAATTTCTAAAAAAATCATCTTCCACATTAAAAACTGCAATTTTCGACAGAATAAAATGAATGAAAGAAAGAACGAATAAATGAATAAAATAAATGGATGAATAGATGAATAAATGAGTGAATGAATGAATAAAAATCACAAATGAGGTCGGGATTATACAACAGAGCATAGCTCCAATCTAAGTACACCCTTGATGAATGAATGAATGAATGAATGAATGAATGAATGAAT